CAAAATATAATGTAAAATAGATCTTTTTTTCTTACTATATTAAGAGTGTCCTAGCTAAGCCAGGTGGTAATGACACATACTTTTAATTCCAGTACTCGGGAGGCAGAGTCAGGCAGATCTCTGTGAGTTCGAGACCAGCCTGGTCTACAGAGTGAGTTCCAGGACAGCCAGCACTACAGAGGGAAAAAAAATTCCAACTAAGCATGTGGATTAATATAAAAGTTACCCGAGGTCACATGCTTCAGAAGTCTTAAGCCAGAAAATAAACTGACAACAGCTAGACACCCAAATTGGAGCCTCAAACCACTCCTACACTGTCTTCCATCCGTTGGCCCCAAGGCAGAAAGCAGGAGAGAAAGAATGAACAACAACATGGAGGCGCAAAGTCAATCACAAGATGAACTCACAAGCTATACTCAAGTAAGAACACAGGAGGCTACATGCCAGAGGCTCTGAATAAGAGCACAGTGGCTCGATTTGCAAAATGTCTGAGAGTGCATTCTAAGGGTTGAAAATTATTTTACAGGCACCCAAGGGCCACTAGGCATTTGATTATGATTATGTAATTAATTGACATAAGGGGATATTTGGAGTAGATGTCAGCATTCCAGAAAATGAGATCAGAGAGCCCAGCAGTGCCATTGCCCAGAGGCCCAAGAGGGGGATAGTAAAAGCTGGCGTGGGTGGAGAAGGAGCAGCAGGAAGGAATCGGCTGTGCAAAAAGAACTGGTAAGAACTGACTCAGGAGGAGGAGAAGGAACGCTGAGGCACCGTGACACTGGCTGAGCTCTGATCTTGGTTTGAACACTATGCTCTGCATTCAGGGAGCTGCTCAGTCCCTGTCCCTCCCTCCTTCCCCGACCCCGCCCCGTCCCGCCCCCTCTGACACAGGTGTGGCTTTCGCTCTTCCTGCCTCGAAGCTGGCTTGCCTCGGATCACAGATGACTGGTTAACAGAGCCGGGGTCTCACCCCAAGAGTCTGGCTTTGGTCTCCACGCTGCTTGCTCTCCGAGCTGCTGACTCTCCAGCCTGCTTCTCGATGATCTCTTGTGCTTGACAGTGTTACCTTGTCTGAGCATCTTAAGGTTCAAGGCACAGGGACAGGATTGGCTGAATCTCGACAGGAAACTGGTGTTGCCAGCCAAAAGCGGCAGAAGTAAAACTTGAACCCAAGCCGTCTAACCCCATTTCCAGGGCTCTAGTTAAACCCTCATGCCCTAGATTTCTGTGGAAAAATAAATAAATAAAAGCAGAACTCACCAACCTAAGCCGTGCCACAGGGACAGTGGAGATCCTGCGACTTCAGAGTTTTAAGCAGCTTCAGGAACATGGTTGTCTTATTATTCCACAGCATCCCCGAGGTGCGAGCACAGTGTTCTCAACCTGTGGGTCGGGGCTCTTTGGGGGCCGCACATCTGATCTCGTGCATATCTGATATTTACATTATGATTCATAATAATAATCATAGCAAAATTTCCACTAGGAAGTAGCAAAGAAATAATTTTATGGTGTTGGTGGGGTTTCACCACAACATGAGGAACTGTAATAAAGGGTCACAGCATTAGGAAGCTTGAGAGCCCGCCGCTCTAGCATATAGAATGGAGAAAGCCTTTCTTACTCAACGAGAGAGAAGATTCCAACAGTCAAGTAACTTCTCATTCCAGACAAGTCAGAGGAAAGCCCTTATCCAGAGGGAAAGGATGGCTGATTTTAAGTTAGGAGAGAAGGGTTTATGGAAAGGAGTCTACACCCAGAGAATCCTAATAAGGTTTGAAACCAGCCTGTGTCAATTGTCCTGAGATGCCCTTTTAGGTTGGTTTATACACAAATGACAGGAAAGACACGTTTATGCCTGATAAGCATGGGCAGAAAGCTATGCTCATTGTAGCACAATGAAATTAGGTACCAGAGGCTTAAAGAAAAATACCTAGGACTTGCTCCCACCCTGAGAGCTAGAGTAAAGTTGTGTCTTGTTTACATTCAAAGCAAGTTTCAGTGTCCTTAGATTTAATGAAATAAAAATATAAACATCCAGCCTTTTTCAGACCTAATAAAAGACTCCAGCTTTTGAAGAAGCTCAGTCTGCAGGAATTTGCAGCAGTGTGAGAATGCAATGTCCTTGTGGATGAGTTTTCCTTGAGAACCTGCCTCTGACACAGTATAATTTCCTTTGGTCTTCTGGTCTGTATCATCTCTCAGGGCAAAGTTGTATTGCTTGAGACTGCTTACTGAAACAGTGGGATGGGTTTCTTTGGAGTGTGTGAGACACACTGTGTGGGGACGTGATACATGACTAACATCTGCAGAACTCTTATTTCCCAGAATATTAGTTTATGAATTAAAATACTACTGCTACACCTTGCGTTAGTTCATATTTGCTTTCCAACGAGGCCCCACCTCTTCTCTGAATGCACTTCCCACCAGTGGGACTTAAGTGACATCTGCTTGCAGGAGTCTGTCCAGGAATCATACGAGTTTAGTTATTTTTCTTATCACCGTATGGTGGTTTGTGAAAACGGCCCCATGGACCCATAGGAAGTGGCACTGTTAGGAGGCGTGGCTTTGTAGGAGTAGGTGTGGCCTTGTTGGAGGAAGTGTGTCACTGGGGGTGGGCTTTGAGATTTCAGAAGCTCAAGCCAGGTCCAGTGACTTATTGTCTCTTCCTACTGTTGTTGGATCTGGAGGTAGAATACTTAGCTACCTGCCCAGCGCCATGTCTACCTGCATGCTGCCATGCTTCCTGTCATGATGATAATGGACTAAACCTCTGAAAATGTAAGTCAGCTCCAATTAAACTTTTTCTTTTTTATAAGAGTTGCCGTGGTCATGGTGTCTCTTCATAACAATAGATAGCCTAATTAAGACACATTGCAGTAAATTCCACATAAGAAACAACTAACAAGGAAAGATTTATTTGTGTGGCTGTGTGTGTGTGTGTGTGTGTGTGTGTGTGTGTGTGTTGTAGGGTGCAGTCTATCATGAGGGGTGTTATTTTTTGAGACTAGTGAAATGATTTATTTGTTTGTAATGAGGCTACTACACAATATGATTTGTTCAGCACTGGGCTGGACACTGTAGTAATTAGTGAACAGAAGGGAGGGAAAGACAGGTCGAAGCTTTGGAATTGGATTTAAGAATGTCTAAGTCAGAACCTCCTGGAAGGTTCATCCTTGACCACACAGGGCAGAAATGAAAATCACCTGATCACCACTGACTGAAAAGGAAAGGGATACAGGCTCAGCCTCAGCACACAACCAAAACCAGTCAGGACACCGCCCACTTGCTGGCCAGTTCTGTTGAGGAAGGGGAATGCTTCTCCTGCCTTGGCCTTCCTGCTTCATGAAAACCCTTCCTTTCTGAGGCCAAGCAGCCTTGGGCTGCCTCTAGAGTCCATGAGCCTTGAGCCAGGAGAAGCTGAGGAAGGGAAGCACTCAGTAATGAGGCCTGTCAATAGAGCTATTCCTAATCCGTCTGGCACCATGAGGGGCTGTGAGGACACCCTGCAAAGACCCCAGTGACACTGCAGCAATACTGGGCAGGGTTCTGGCAACAAACATTTGGGAGCTCAAGGGAAGGGATGCTGGTAAGTACCACTCACAGTACTGATGGTGCCCACTGCTCCGAAGGCCAAGTCCCGTGATAATGGTCTGTCCTATCTCTTTAAGAGACAAGCCCCACCTCCTCCCCCTCCCCCACTGCGGAGGCAGGCAGATCTTCCTTCCACTTCCAGTGTGAGTCTTCCCTTTCTGTCTCTCTCCCAAAGAGGTAGCTGTTGCCATGGCTCCTCTCCTCTTCCCCTCCCACCCCCTCTCTCTGTTTCTCTTTCTCTGCCTCTCTGCTCTTCTCCTTTCTCCCCTTCCCCTCTTTCCCTTTCCCCTCTGTAACCCACTAAATAAATACCAACTTACTCTGCATTGTGTGCCTATTCGCTTGTCTCTTCCCATGGAACTGGCTGCCTTGTTGAGTTCTCTCACCCACCACTTGGCTCCCTGACTGGAACTCACTGCCCCTTGTAGCCCTCAGGCCACTCGGAGGCTCTGTGCCTAGACCGACTTCCTTTGTGGCCTGCTGTGACCCACTGCCCTCTGCAGTCACTCAGGAAATGGTGCCGTTTTATTTTTACCATTACACCATGAGTCCACAGCAGCAGAGATGCCAAACACAGAGCTCAGCCTCCTTCTGTCTGCATTTGGCCAGACCTTGAAGCTTCAGCTTCTAGAAGGATGAGCAAGGAAGAAACCCAGAAACCAACAGCTATCTGTCCTTGGCTCAGCACCCAGTGTAGGTCAGCTATATGGAGAGCATGCCAGGATTCACCAGGCAGGGTGATCCTTCAGTGTAGGAGGCCTGAGGAACAAGGAACTGTCTATGGCGAGGGCTGATTACTGAAACTTTAAGTTCTTGGGAAGGGGCCATTCCTACTCTTTCTCCCAAGTCGCCAGCCTTTCATGGAGAACGGCTTCTACCATTTAAGCTTCTTTAGGGATTCCTATACAAAGACCTGGCACTCTCTTTGCTGTGTCTCTTTATTCTAAGCTTCCTGCGTCTTCAGGGTCAGAGGTGTCCACATTCTTTTCACAGTGAAGTTCAGTCCATTTTGTAGGAAAGATGAAGGAGCAGGAGGCAGAGGAGAGGCCTGGCGAGCCCTTTTCCAGTGAGTGTAGCCAACACCTGCCAGGCCATTGGGATGGTGCCGGTGCATGGAGACAGGACAGGGGCTCCAGGTGGGAGAAGTTTCCAGAAGCAGGAAGGAGAGCCTCTTGAAGATCAGGCATATACTCTGCTCCTGAGCCAGCATAACACCGGGCCTGCAGTTGGGGCAGGCTGATGGGCCAGCACGTGGCCACCAGCTCCTCGTAAAGGACAGCAGAAGTCAGACAGACAGGAAAATAGGCTCTAGTGCACAGGAAAAGTGCTGAGGACAGAAGCCTGGGGAGGTTGCTGCAACGGCATCACAAGGTACAGTTGTATTCGATGCCACCTTTGGTGGTGATGCTGGACTATGGCGGAAAGCTGCAGAGCAGGCTGTGGGCCTGGTGGTAGATCCTGTGTGGGATGGAGCAGGAACTCAGGTTGGCTAGTGCTGAGCCCCAGGTGCTGATGTAGACTAAGATGGTCCAGGGACGGTGGCCGCCATTGATGTAGAGGACATAGGTGAAGCCATCTTTGAGGACCCCTCGAATGGAGTAGTAGTAGGGCAGATGGAGATGCTGTTTAAAGTCTCTGTTTTCATAGACTGTATTGCTGGTGGTGAGGACATGCAGGTTGATTGCTTTGCAGTGTTCCTGTCCAGTGGTCGAAATATGATCCTTTAAACTTTCTAATAAAAGGGAACCTATGTTGTGTTTTCTGAGTTCTTTTACCCCTCCCAGACGTAGACTGTATGCAACTTGTGTATCCACAGAGAAGCTGGAGGCTGGAATCTCTCCACCCTCTTTATGTATTTTGGTCCTGTTCTTTATTTCAGATACTATCATTCCCACGATGGCACCTCTGTAGGTTGCAGCAAGAGACAAGAGCTTCTTGTTGGATGTGACATCACGATACCATGAGTCTGGGTACACAGTGGGGAACCAATCATCACACAGGTGCTTCACAGTGTCTATGTCATGTGGCAGAGGAGACACAGGCTGACCTCGCCTCTGTCATTCACACCTTGGACGGGAGCCGGCGGCAACGGACTGCAGCGGGTCACCCCAGGTATTGGTGGGTCCCCAGAGGCCTCAGCAGGTCGGCAGGTCGATGGAGTCGGTGGGTGAGAGACAGCCAGATACACCATGCAGAGAGAGAGTATGGGCATAGAATTTATTTAGTAGGTTATGAAGGGGGAAGGGGAAGGGGAAATGGGAGAAGGGGGAAGAAGAGAGAGAGAGTAGGGTAATGAAAAGGCAGAGAGCAGCAGGCTGGAGGAGAGAGAAGGTCTGCTTGTCTCAGTGGAAGGGGGAGTGGGTGGGGCTTGTCTCTTAAAGAGATAGGGTACCCAGGTGACAGGCCAGCAGATCTTAACAGTGGGGCAGGCATATGATGGCAGCTGGAGCATGAGGCTGCTTGCTAACATCCTGGCTGACCAGATAGTGGACAGACCCTGGCTGTAAGTAGGAACTGGTTATCACTGTCAACACCTGCCTACCAGTGACCCACTTCCTCAAGTAGGCCCCACCTCCTAATGTTTCTATAATCTCTCAGAACATTGTCACCTTCTAGGGACCAAGTGTTGAAACAGTTGAGTCCATGGGAGATACCATAATACTTTGAAATACTATACAGTTCTCTCCTACTGTGTACTCTTCAAAATTTACTGTTCCACAGTTGTGACAGAGGAGGTTGGTGGGGATGTGACAGGCAACTCTGAAATAATTCTATGTTTCTCTGTATGGTTCAGGAAGTGCTCTGTCTTCACAACACTTTATCTTCTTTGCTATATCGCTCCGAAGAAATCAAAGCCACGAAAGTCACCTTGCCAAAGGCAGATCTCTGTGAGTTCACGCTGCGTGTGTGTGTGTGTGTGTGTGTGTGTGTGTATGTGTGTGTGTGTGTGTGTGTGTGTGTGTGTGTGAGGGGTTCTGTCCTGCCTGGTGCAATTGTTTAGTTCCAAAGAAATCACACAGAAGTCTATATTAGTTATAAACTGATTAACCTACTATCTCAGGCTTCTTATTAACTCTTACAATTTATATTAGCCCATTATTCTTATTTGTGTTAGCCACATGGTTCAGTACCTTTTTCAGCGAGGCAGTCACATCTTGCTTCTTCTGTGGCTGGGCTAAGACTGCGGACCAAGCTTTCCTCTTCCCAGAATTCTCTGTTCTCATTGACCTGCCTCTGTTTCCTGTCTGGTTGTCCAGCCTATATTTCCTGCCTGGCTACTGGCCAATCAGCATTTATTTAAAAATAATTGACAGAATACAGACCATTGTCCCACACCAAGTTCAAGGTCAGCCTGGTCTACAAGAGCTAGTTCCAGGACAGGCTCTAAAGCTACAGAGAAACCCTGTTTCGAAGAAAAAGAAGTCACCTTGCCAAGATGGTCTCTCTTCTTTCTTGCTAAGACTGCTATGCAAGCAGCTTGGCTGCACCACTTATGGTTGAAGCTGAACTTGCAGAAAGTGAACTCCTTGCTTTAAAGATGTACACCCCAGCAGTGCAGCAAAAGGAAATCTGCAACTAGACTTTCCACTGCTTTCTGCTTCCAAATTCAGAAGACATACTTCCCTCTAGGGTGTTGGCAGGCACAGTGGTTTTCAGGGGACAGAATAGTGCTCACTAGGAAGTCTTTTTCTGGGCTACTGTAGGCTCTCTGTCTATCAAGATTCTATGTGATACACACACCCAGCATGCTTCTGTCTTGTTGATGTTGCTTAGTTGTTTGGTTCTTTTTGTCTTTGCTTGTTTTTGGTTTGTTTATTTGTTTTTCTATCTCACCTTCTTTATAATGGTCATGAATCTGACACCAGACTCAGACAGAGACCTAGGCCATGGAAATCTGGGAGCCTGGGTGGGCTGTGCAGAGTAGGATAGTATACATATCTGGTGTTGGTGGGAGCTTGTGTCAAAGCAAGAAGATTGATCTTCTCGTTTTCTCTCTCTCTCTCTCCCCTCCCTTCCTTCCTTCCTTCTTTCCTTCCTTCCTTCCTTCCTTCCTTCCTTCCTTCCTTCCTTCCTTCCTTTCGACCTTCCTTTTCTTTTTAAGGTTTTTTTCCAGGCAGTGTTTCTATTGGCGGTTTTTTTTTTTGTCCTGCCATTTGCTCATTCTTGCCAGTCGGCTCCACAAATAAACATATAGAGACTTACTATTAATTATAAGTGCTCAGCTGATAGCTTAGGCTTGTTACTAACTAGCTCTTATGACTTAAATTAACCCATATTTATTATCTATCATGTGGTGGTACCTTTTTCAGCACAGCATGTTCATCTTGCTTCTCTTGGCGTCTCCTGGTGACTCCCCTTGACTCCACCCTCTTCTTCCCAGTGTCCTCTCTCCCTGAAAATCCTGCCAAGCTATTGGCCATCCAGCCTTTTAGAAAAATCTGAGTGACAAATCTTCACCGTGTACAAAAGAATTATTATGTTACAACATGTTTCTGTATAGCCCTGGCTGTCTTGGAACTTGCTCTGTAGACCAGGCTGGCCTTGAACTCAGAGATCTGCCTGCTTCTTCTTCATTCTTCCTGAGTATTGGGATTAAAGGCATATGTATCACCTCTTGGCCCTCCTTATTTTCTCATTCAAACCTTCCTTTTTGGGGGGGGTGGGGATAAAGGGTATTTATTCAAATACAAATTTTTTATTACTTTATAAATAATGCCAATCAAAATTTCCACTTTTTCCCCTCCTCCCACTTTCCTCTTGCTCCCCCACTTACCCTCTCCCCTCCTCTTCCAGTCCTAAGAGAGGGCAGGATACCCTGCCCTGTGGGAAGTCCAAGACCCTCCCCTCTCCATCCATGCTTAGGAAGGTATGCATTCAAATAGAATAGAATCCCAAAAAGCCAGTACATGTAGTATAGACAAATCCCAGTGCCATTATCATTGGCTTCTCAGTCTTCCCCAATTGTCAGCCACATTCAGAGGGTCCAGTTTGATCCCATGCTGGTTCAGTCCCAGGCCAGCTGGATTTGGTGAGCTCCCATTAGCTCAGGCAGAGTGTCTCAGTGGGTGGGCCAAGCCCGCGTGGTCCTGATTTCCTTGCTCATATTTTCCCTCCTTCTGCTCTTCAACTGGACCTTGGGAGCTCAGTCCAGTGCTCCAATGGGGGTCTCTGTTTCTATCTCCATCGTTGCCAGACGAAGGTTCTATGGTGATATTCAAGATAGTCAACAGTCTGACTACGGGACAAGGCCAGTTCAGACACCCTCTCCGCCACTGCCCAGGGTCCTAGCTGGAGACATCCTTGTGGATTCCTGGGAACCCCTCTAGAGTCAAGCTTCTTGCCAACCCCAAAATGGCTCCCTTAATTAAGATTTCTCCTTCCCTGCCCAAACCTTTCTATCATGAGCTGTAATCACCCAAGAATCATCACCACATTTTGATGTTTTTGTATTTTGGCTTTTTGTTGTTGTTTGTTTAAGAGACAGGGTCTCATTATGTAGTTCTGGAAGACTTAGAATTCATTACGTAGATCAGGCTGGCCTTGAACTCACAGAAATTCACCAATTTCTGCCTCCCAAGTACTGAGCCACCATACCTAATAAGGAGAACTTTTAAGACCCAGTTGCTTTCAGCACATGTAAAAGAATGTTGCTTTTGGACATAAGACAAAGAACAACAATAATTTAAAATGCACAAATCATCAAGAAAAAAATTGACTTACCTGATTGTATGAGACTTACGACAAGTGTATGAGAGAAGATATTATAAACAAAATTAAATGACAAACCATAGCTAGTAGAAAATATTTATATAGATTGTAGACTATTAATTAATATATGAAAATATTTATGTAGAATAACAGTTGGAAATATGTTAAGAGATTTGAAAAGGAATGTTTTATTTTTGTCTTTGTTTTCTTTCTTTTTATTTTCAAATTTCTTTGTGTAACCCTGGCTGTCCTGGAATGCACTCTGTAGACCAGGCTGGCCTTGAACTCAGAGATCTGCCTGCCTCTTCCTCCAGAGTATTGGTACTAAAGGTGTGCCCCACTACCACCTGGCTTCTTTTTTTTTTGTTTTTTTGAGACAGGGTTTCTCTGCGTGGCTCCGGCTGTCCTGGAAAGTAATGTCTAAAATGACAAGCAATTATGAAAATGGGCAAATTCATATCCTTAGAAGCTGATGAACATAAAACAATGTTCAGCCTCAGCAGGAAACGGAAACTACAGTAACCGCTTCATAGGGACCAACTTCTCAAAACCACATCACTTTGGTACCATCAAATGCTGGGACAGGCATAAGGAAGTTATTTTGTATTGCAGGCATGGTGTAAACTGTCATGGTCACCTTGGCAACCAACGTGGGTGATGCCTGTTACATGTGAGCATGTGTATCCTGTAGCTTGGCGGTTACACACTTGGATATCCTCTCTTGACAACATAATACACACTTGTGGAAAGAGACAAGTTCATGGCTGTTCACTGGAGCGATATTTGCACAGAGAAACAATAGATGTGACCTCCATGTCTATTTAAGGAAATTCATGGAAATTTAAGGAAAGGGCTAAATAACCTGGTTCTCTTGATATGGTGAAAAAGATCCGAAGGAATTATAATAAACAGTGATCTATTTATATGAAACCCAAATGCTGAACAAAAAAATTTAAATATGTATGGCATATTTTGTTTCTCATTGCTCTGACAGAGTACCTCACAAAAGCAGTTTAAGGAGAAAGGGTTTATTTTGGCTTATCGTCTGAGGGAATACAATCCATCATGGTTTAGAAGGCTCGGTTGTAGGAGCATGAGATGGCTGGTCATATCATGTCAGAAGCCAGGAAGCAACGAGTAGGCAAGAATCAGGATGCGGGGTATAAAACTTCAAGGGGCTTCCAGCCACTCACATCCTCCAGGGAGGCTCCGCATCCTAAGGGCTCTGAGAGCAGTTCTCAACCTGTGGGTCCCAACCCCTTGTGTCGA